GAAAGAGAGACTGGAAGAAGAGAGAACGGCGTTCGAAGGGATAAATCGGATACAGTGAAGTGCAGCAGGTGCTCGCGGGGATTCGGTGAAACCAAGTTCCTGACCTAAGGCGACGCCGTCACCGTCGGCAAGATTCTGTCTCCCAGGTACCGGGCGAGTCCTGGGGTGGCGACAGAGGCACCTGCAGGTGCCCGTAGCCCGAAGGAACCACCTACGTGTACCGTGATGACGGTCCATCATCATCAGAACCACCACGTGGCGGCTCAGAGCGGCGTCACCGTGGCCAATAACGGTCTGAATCTGAGCAGGATGTCCGGTCTCGAGGCGCACAGGTTGGAGAACATCGTGGAGAGGAATGGAGTCAGCGTGGAACGTCTGTCGAATGGGCTCGACGCCAGGAACAACAATCACGGTAACAACAACGGGCCGGAACGCGGCACCTCGACCACGATGCCGCAACGATCGCGATTTATGATCACCGATATCCTCGGTGGAGCGTCCAGCAAGATGCATCAGGCGGGCCTGCAGAGCCAAGAACCGCCCGGGAGTCCGCCCTCGACACCGAGGGACCTCAGTGTCAGGCATCAGTCGAGGACATCCTTGAACAATAGCAACCTCGACGAGGACAGCGACGCCAGTCATCACGACGGTGCTTCCGTTACTTCCAATGGTAAGCGGTCAATTACGTTCTTATCTCGATTCTCTCGGCTCGGTAATATTTCCACGAACGCCGAGCGCGGGGCGATTAATTCGTTACGCGGAATAACGCGGGGCACAGCGCGGGGCACAGCGCGGGGCACAGCGCGGGGCAAAGCGCGGGGAATAGCGCGGTGGTCGGAATCGAAATTCGACGTTGGTTCGTCGCATACGCGCGCGGCCTTTAATCGTCGTTCGTCGACGTTGGCTAATTGGCGTGCCGACTGGCGGTAGAGAAGGGACGAGCAACGGCAAAGAGTGGGAGGAGGGGAGGAAACGAGGGTGAGGGAGAGAGGAGCGAAGGAGGCGCGAAATTAATTTCGCCGCTCGGTTTGTTCACCTGACCGCTCGCGTGGACTTTCGCCAAGGTGTCAAGGACATTTATGGGGCGGACTGTCCCGACCGGATGTTCCACTCGGTGAGAGATCGTGTCGGTGGCCGTCGGTGGTTGCGAGCGCAAAACGCGACTCCACTGTGCTTCGGGAATCAGATATTTCCCGAGAGATAAAAGGCCTTCCTCCCACAGTCCCTCCCCTCTCCCCCGCCCCCCTACCACACCCGACCCCCTTCTCCTCCATCAACCCGCCTCTGTCCCGACATCGTTTAGGGATTTTAATGGTCTCAAATTGGACTTCGGCGCTCGAACGCTTTAATTATGTTACCCTCATTTGTTTCGTTCACCTCTCCTATCCGTCGTGAGCCGTCCTCCACCGTTTAGCCCCCTGGGGCCCGGCCACCGAGTGCCAAGTGAATTTACCGTTTTCGTTCGCGCTTCGACGTCGCGTTTCAGCGTTCGAGTCGCCAAGCCTAACCGGCCTGTTACAACCTACTCCGCGAGAGATCAGTCCGAGCGATAACGCGCCTACCACGCGAGGAATCTCGCTAATGGAGGGGAAAAAAGGAAACGTCGCGAACGTTCGATGCCGGAGCAACGATTTTCCACCACGGACGAATCCCCGCGCGAGCCTTAAATTACCATCGATTTTTAAGGGATACACCGAGAAACCGAGCGAGAGTCTATGCCCAACGCTTCCTTCGTTCGTCATTTCTGACCTGCTACGGACCTCTGCGTCGCGAGTTTACCTCGGTCCTCTCCTTTAATCGACCGATGCTTCTTCACGGCTATTGACCCTTGAGGACGTAGCTGATCCCGGCCTGCGCGATAATACGTGCCCCGTGATCCATTTGCCTCTCGAAATTTCATAGAACACCGCGCTTCTTAACCATCCGTTTGATTTTTCCTTTTCGGCCCCTGTCCCCTAATTAGAGGCCTTCGCGGTTTTTTTCGGGTTAATGGAATCCCGAATAATCATTACCCCCGTAGACGAAGCTTACCGTTTCGACACTTCCGTCCATTATTTCAGCTCGTTCTCGTTTATAGATATTCTCCTTTTCTTCCTCCTCCCCTCTCCCTCTCCTCTGCGGCTTTTTTATTTCCACCGATTCACCGACCCGTAACTCGAAATTACGCCCGAGATCGTTCTTCTCCCTTGTTTATCCAAACATCGAGGAACGGGACTTCCTGCCACGGTCGCGAGAACGTTTCCAGCAGCGTTAGCGATTAAACGCCGAGCCGCGATGTTCCCCGAGTTACGATTATTAGCGAAAAAAACGGTAATTACAGGCATTTGTCAGTTTCCAGCTACCTCCGCAGCCGCATTGACAGAGGCATTGGGAGAGCACGACTAATACCAATCATCTCGGGACGATTTCCGTCAATTTACAACCAGCTTTTTTCCCCCCTTCTCCGTGTACATTCCCGTTTTACGTTGGCCGTCGATCGACTCTCCACGGTACTTTCCTTCGAGGCTAAGTTCATACGCTTACATCGTAATCGGCTTATTTTGCACAAAAAGTACATTAAGAACAATTACGCGCATGACTACGGCTACGTGATTAGAGACACGGTTCCGAGCACTAATACTGCTTCTGACTGTGAGAACCGAATAGACGGTTTCTTGCAAAAACGGAAAGAACCTTTTATCCTCCTCTAAACAATTACCCTCCCGGTAAAATCGCGAATCCCCCGGATCGTTTCTTCGCCCCGATATCGATCTCTCCACGTAACCGTGTTACCGCCACACGCGCCGATTTATCTTCTCCCCTCTCGCCGCTCGGGATCCACGATCGAACGCGTTCTAGCGAAAAATTAAATACTAAAATAAATTCTACATCCTAGCCACGCGGGGGCGAGCCCTGCCCCTCCGTTTTGTCTTTTCGCGTCTTTGACCTGTGTGTACAGTTTTGTAGACAGTTTTGTATACAACTTTTCCATTAGCAGCTATTTCTCTGCATCTTAGCAGAGGGGGTCACGGAAAAACGGAACACGCGTCTATGTATATAAGGACAAAGAGAAAGGGAGAAAGAGAAAAAGAAATAATCTGGAAAACCGCGTTACGCTGATCGATAATCGACGTCCTTGCCTCGCATACCGCGATACCCGCGAAGCAAAGCAGTTTCGCGATAAGGGGACACTAGAACGAGAGTCCAGCCGAACGGTGATGGGAAATCGTGATTCGTAAAAGGTGAAATATTCCTGGGAAAACGTGTGCCGCGATAGAGGGCCGATATCGCGGTCGACGTTTTTCTCTGCACCGAATAACGTATGCTCGAGGGCTGTTATCAGTCGCGGTTAACCTCACACGCGGCTAATCGTCGCCCGGCGTCGACTAAAGAATTAATGAAGGCCAATTAGAAGGAGTAACGCCGTTGTAATTGCCGGCGAACATGCTTTCCGGATGATTGAACCGGTGATTATACACGATCCATCCTCCCGATCTATCAACGCTTTCGACGCGAACATCGTTTCTTTCGATATCTTTTCTCGCCGGGATCGACTCTTTTCTGTCTCCCTCTCTCTCTCTCTCTCGCTACAAAACGTCGATACGAGTAATTATTTTGCTCGCCGATGCGTCTCTGATAGGATGTTTGTCTTCGCCGTGTTTTTGTCCCTCGATTTTCCTCTGGATCCGCGGCAACGGCGCGCGATGCACACGCGGCGATATCGGAATGCGACTCCTCTTTAATATCGGAAGAAGCGTCGCCGTGGACGAGACGTTATCGCGCGTACAGCTGTTTCGTGTGCATATCTAATCTCGTGGGAATAATTGCCGCGTTGTCCACCTTGCTCGCTCAATCCAATAAAGAATTAACGAAAGCCAATTAGGAGGAGTAACGCCGTTGTAATTGCCGTCGGACACGCTTGCGCGGCGTCGAGCCTGACAATTTTCCACGATCAATCGTAGATTTTTTATCCGCCCGACGCGTCTCTGTTATTACGTACAACCTCTGCGCACAATGCAATCCCACGGCGTCGATCCTTGGCTCGCGGAGAAAATCGGACCACCGATGTTAGAGACGCTGCCATCTAGCCTGGAAAGTGACTCGCGAGGTTCGACAGGCGCGGTATAGTTCGATGGAAGATTGGACGCACGAGGAAACGTCGCGCGAAATGGAGACTTTTTCGGGCGCGTGTACAAATCGTTTGTAATCCGCTTACGAAGCCAACATTCGTTCCCGGGACTCATTGTTGGCGTCTGGCGTCGGGCCGGAAGGTCCTGGGGCTAGCCAGTTTCACGCCCTTACCGGCAACCGACTTTCCGCGCGCGACTAATCCGAGAACCGGAAATGATTGGCAACCGTTTAGATCTCGGCGCGGATTAGGAATTCTATGAGAGACTCGTAGCCGCCGAGACGAAAGGCCACTTCGACTCCGTTCCTCCGAACCCCTCTCCGTCCCAGTTTTTTCGCGCCCCATGCGAGAGAGCAGCCTGACAAACGAGAACCGGCTGTCAACTTTCCGACGAGACTATCTGCCGAGGATTAATCCGTGCTCCGAATAATCGGGGGCCTCTGACGCGTCTTTATGGAAACGTCAAAGGGTATCGGCCTGCCTGGGCGCAGACGCGGTTAGAACGGAGAGCGGAATTTTCGAAAGGAACCGAGGGAAAAAGGGCGAGACGAGACGCTTTTCGGGGTTAATTCCTCGACCGCGGCCTAGTCGCACAGCCGGTATCAATTGCGCGGAAAATGGAACGCGAGGTCAGCGTGGTAACCTCTGCGGAGGTTAGCGCGGTCGGTAGACACGGCTGCCAGTCGTGAACCTTTGAAAAGTCTGGGTTAGGATTTCTTAAATATTCCTTTGTAGCGTTCGAACGACAGTGAGCTACACCGGCGTCGTTGGGATTCGCGCGGTTGGTTTTCAACGTTCGCTTAACGAGATTCGCCATCGCAAATCCTCTTAACTACCTCGTTCCAGCGTTGACAGTGCTGACCTCGCTTTGCGCTGCCTTTAAATAGGCAGCTTCTGCGTTGTTTATTGCATTGAAAATTGTAGGACCGAGAGTAAAGCGATCGTGGAGACAGGATGCAACCTGGCAAGTAAATCATCCATGGGTGGAAGAAATGGAATAGAACGGAGACGTATACGCGTCGGAGGGTGCAAAGGCACCGTCATGCTGGTCGCGCTTTGAAGGACACGAGCGGGAACGTCGATCGCGGAGAAAGGTTAAACTATCGTCGCATCGTGGAACCGTAATGACTTCGAGGAACGTCATTGTACACGAACATCTCGCCGAGTTAATCGGGTCAGGGTGTATTGTTTCAAACGGCTGACTCCGCCAGCGTTGGAATAATTAATCATGTTCGCTTAATCTAGGATCGGTCGCTTTGTAAACACTGGACGCTTTGCACGCGTTGTAAATTAATCGTACGATAATCTAGCCCGATTGCGTATCTCGCGTTATTTCTGTATATCGCGAAAACTCCATAACGCGATCGCCATTTTCCGACCGACAAATTTATTTACCATCGCGGCTGAGCGCAGGCAGGTACGGGTACCTGGTACCTCTAACGACTTCCTCCGGCAATTTTCGGTTGCTCCATCTTCTAACGGGGTTATCATTAACCCAATAACGAGCAGCGTCTATCCCCGACGCAGGATTCTCGAGTGGAAGCCGGCGCCGGTGAAAAAAC